CCTCACGTTGCAGAAATAAAATCGTGTATAACCTTTTGTACAAATATACAAAATTTAACTATCTCTTTCAGGTGATTCTTGCTGCAGTGATATCCGAGGCATGGAGATGTCTGTGAGCCAGCGTGTGGAAGGGATCACCTCTCAGCTGCCCATGTTCTACTGCATGATGAGGCCCCACATCAGCCTGGCGCCCTCTGTGGCTACTAACAGCAGCGATGGCGGTCAGTTGACCTACGGTATCAACTGGAGCGAGGGAGACAGCTCCCTGGAGGTCGTGGATGGTCTGCAGGGCAAGACCATAGAGGAGTAAGGATGACTGAACAGGAAGCGGAGAGAGTCAATATGTGACCACAATGTTTTGCATTCAGCTTGCAGTCACATTCTTAACACAATCCGGTGTTTGAATTCCAGTGTGTTTGCAAGCAGGGTTGCCACTGCTTAGTCAGTCTAAGCAGTGTTACGCGAACATAAAACCTATTTGGTAGCAACCACGTTCATTAACGATGCAGCTGAAGTCCCTAATGCAGCAGATATGTTGTAAATTACAAATAAGATTACATATGGGTGTGGACTGAGATTTTCATCACAGCTAATTCTTTGATTTTCCATTTATAGATCTCCCTTTAAGAGTGGATCTGCTCTGGCAAGTCGGCTGTGCAAAGCAGCGATGCTGCACCGCTTCAAGCTGGTGGCCAAAGAAGCCCAGAGACAGGACCTACTGGCCACGAGCTCCTACAGAGAAGCCAAGGTAACGTCAACAGCTCCTCCCCACACTTTGTGAAATCATGACCAAAGTAACAATTAGTAATTAGTTTCATGATCAACATGCAGTAGGTTGCACCCTTTTCAATACAAAAACACAGTCCTGTTCAGTGTGATTCCCATCGTGGTTCCTAGTTGCAGCCTTAGACTGTATGTAGAGATGGACAACATGAGATTTCCCATCAAAATATACAGTCTTGGTTTGCAATGCTGTTTTTTCATTAACGTAACGTAAACAGCTCGTATCACATTTGATATGAATCCTGTGCAAGGATTCATTTTGATTAAATTACCTCTATTGTTATTTTGTCGCTGAAGAGGATGGCAAAGCCGTACCAGGAGGCAAAGACTATACTGAGGACGTACCTGTCGCAGCAGGGCTTTGGGTCCTGGCTGGTCAAACGATCAGTTGGGGAGAATTTCAGTATGTAAACAGAACCACATTATAACTGGAATTTAAAAATCTAGCACCTGGAAGCAACTGAGTTTATATTAATAATATTCAAACAATGTTTAGTTTGCTAACA